AGCCCCCCCCCCCGGGCGGCCTGGCCCCCGCGCGGACACGTGCTGAGCCAGCTGCGGGCGGGAGGGGCTGAGGGACTCGCCTATCTGCGGCTTTTCTTTTTCCCCTTAGTCACACACGGGTAGGAAATGAGGGGTAGAAGGGACCTCAGGAGGTCATAACCCCCTGCTCAAGGCGGGACCAGACGAGGCTTTGTCTGCTCGGGTCTTCACGTCTCCGAGGACGGTGCTTCCGCCACCTCGCTGGGGAGCCTGTGCCAGCGTTTCACCCTCCTAGTGAGAAAACTCGTTCTCCTCACTAACCTCAACCCCCCTGCTGCAACTGGAGACCGTTGCTCCTTGTTCTGTCATCTGCCACCGCTGAGAACAGTCCAGCTCCGCCCTCTTCTGAACCCCCTTCAGGTAGGTGAAGCCTGCGATTAAGCCCTCTCTGTGTCCTCTTCTCTCGACTAATAAACCCAGTTCCCTCAGTTTTTGTGTCACAAGTCATGTCTCCCAGCCCCCTCATCATTTCTGGTGCCCTTCACTGGACTGTCTCCAATTTGTCCACATCCTTTCTGTAGTGGGGGGCCCCAAAACTGAACACAGGTCACTTCCCTTGACCTACTTGCAACACACCTATGAATGCAGCCCAGTAGTACGCCGTTAGCCTTTGTGGCAACAAGGGCATGCTGCTCACTCATGTTCAGCTTGTTATCCACTGTAGCCTCCTAGTCCTTTTCTGCAGAGCTCTTGCTTAGCCTATCAGGCCCCAGCCTGTCCTGGTGCATGGGATTGTCCTGTCCTAAGTGCAGGACTTTGCACTTGTCCTTGTTGAATCTCATGAGATTCCTTTTGGCCCAATCCTCCAATTTGTCTAGGTCACTCTGAATCCTACCCTCCAGCATCTCTACTACTCCCCCCAGCTTGATGTCATCTGCAAACTTGCTGAGGGTGCACCGCATCCCATCTTCGAAGTTGGTAAAGACACTGAACAAAACTGGCCCCAGTACGGACTCCTGGGGTACTCCATTTGATACCAGCTGCCAACAAAACATCAAGCCTGATTATTATTCTACGAGCCTAATGCTCCAACCAGTTTTCTACTCACCTTACAGTCCATTCATCTAGCCTGTACTTTCTTAGCTTGCCTGTGAAAGTGCTGTGGAAGACCATAACAAAAGCCTTGCTAAAAATCAAGGTATACCACATCCATCTGTCTCCCTGCATCCAGAGCACTAGTCATCTCATCCTAGAAGGCAGTCAGGTTGGTCAGGCATGACTTGCCCTTGGTGAATCCATGCTGCCTGTTCCTAATCACCTTCTTCTCCTCCTCCAAGTGCTTAGAAATGGATTCCTAGAGGACCTGCTCTATAATTTTTTAGAGACTGAGGTGAGGCTGACTGGTCAAATGAGGTTCAAGCCTTAAAAAAAAGTAATGTGCCCCCAGTAATTAAATATATACAGTTGTACAAGGCATTGGTGAGAGTAGTTCTGCCACTGCATATATAGTATTCACTATACGAACAGTGGCAGAGCTACTTTCACCAGTGCCTTGTACAACTGCATATATTTAATTACTAGCAGCAGGGTGTTTTAAAGCCCCAGCAGGGAGAAGTTGAAATACTGATCCAAATACTTCCAGCTATTTTTTATTTTGTTGAGCAGATGTGTAAGATTTGAAACCAAAATTATTTCAGCTTTAATTATATTTTTACTTTCCAAGTCCACCTTTAGTATAGCAGTTTTAAAATAGCAGTTCACGCACCTACTGGGGCTTGAGCACTATGGTCAGTTAACCTTAAGCTGCAACTACTGATGAAAGAACTTGGTCCACATGGAACATTTCAGCTTTCCCCACCTGCAGCTGTGCCATAGAGCATAGTTTCTCAACCTGTGGTACATGTACCCCATGGGGTATGTGAGACACAGGCAGGGGGTACATGGGTACCCCAACACTCTTTTGCCCTCTTTTCCTCTCAACACTATGCCAAAAAATTTGGTGGCCAAATATTGCACGGTGCTTTAAATTCCCCAGTAATAATTTGGTTCAGCCCTCCTAGCTTTGGCCTACATTGCCCTAGCCCATGTACATACTTGAGTTGTGCACCTTGGTGTAAAAGGTGGCAATTGTCTGCACCAGATCAGATATCTGTCATATCACAGCCTTGTATACACAGCTCTTCTTCCAACATATGGCACACAGTCTGTAAATATAAAATCCCCTGGAAAATTGAGTGCTGGGGTACTTATTAAAACTTTCAGAAGTTAGGGGGTACTTGCTACTTAAAAGGTTGAGAAACACTGCCATAGAGCAGCTGCAATTCTACAGTGCCCTAAAAATACAGTTTTACCTCGTCTAGTATAGTGTTGGTTGTTCGGGGCTTGTCTTACAATGCACAGTAAGGTCCAATTAGGTCTTTTGGATACAACTGAAGTAAAGTGTGTCTCAGTATTTCTTGCTTGGGTTGAAGTTGGCAATCAGTATGATTTTCCTGTACCTTTCCCCCTTCAAGTCACAATTTTCCTCCTCAAGAGATCAGACAAAATGCTTCACAGGATTTTAAGGCTACAGGAACAGATAGATTTGATAATTTGTGTTAAACTTCAAGACTCAGTAATGCTTTTTTTTTTTTTTAAACTCTGCAAGGCTTCTGCCCACTCCTCCCCAAAAAGCTACACACAACTCCTTCCCTCCCCCCCCCCTCCCATCCTTGGAAGCAAAACATCAAAGTGCTGCTTGCCTGTTGGAGGCAAATTAAACTACAGCTTAATGGATTATTGTTGTTGAGGCTGCCTGTAAAGAAATGCCATATTTAAGCAGTTTAATTGGCCTATAGTAGAGCACCTCATCTTAAGAGGCCCACACATTCAAAATGAGGAACTCTACTTTAAATGGAGACTGAAAAGTGTTACCAGTGTGTGTAAAGCTGACATGTGGCTTAAGCTCTAAAGTAACCTTTTTATTAGGTTGTACTGATGCTTGGCATTTGATTCTGTGTCTAACTAGAGGGCAGATAAATATGGTGATTGTTTCAGAAGCCAGCACTAATCTCACTGAAAGATGCTATGGAAGAAATAACAGAACTGGCAGATAGCTACCGCTGTTACAGAAGTGACTGAAGCAGAATGGCGAGACTGGGTCAGAAGTGTGCATTTAGAGCAGGGCATAAACGTTTCACAAACATTCTTGGTACTTGTTGGATAGCAGCTGCAAAGAGAGTTTAAGTATGGAGAAGGGTGCTGTAAATACCAAGTGTGTCCAGGTAGTTGTTTCTAACTTATAATGCAATAGCTTTCACACAGCAAAACTGGTATAGGAAGTAGTATTGTTTAAGAGAGAAAGTTACCCATTTACTTTGAGTTAAATGATGTTTGTTATAGGATGCCCCTATAAAAGTGATGCAAGTCAATCATGATAGAAGCACTTTTTCCAGAAGGACAAAACCATAATGCTTGTCCTTAAAAATGCTTCTAGAAAGAACAGAAGTGGAATGTACTCAGCTCACACACCAACTCCATGTTACTTCAAACATGACCACTACAGTAAGTTGAACAGAGGCTATTTTTCCTTACCAGTTAGTCCCAGATACAAAGCTACAGCTGTTTCCTTGATGGTAAAACAAGTTTTAAAAGGTTCATTCAGTAAAATGCAGTGCATTTATTTCTTGCAATATCTATATGGGAGTTTTAACTTTCAAACTGAACACATACAAATGTGTACAGCTTTGACAATTATTGATACTAGAAACAAGGAAGTCATTGTGTAGAGTTCATAGGGAGAAAAAAGAATAAATTTATCGTTTTTGTTGGAAGTCAATGAAGCCAAGCATTTTAAATTAAAGGCCTTATGAAAGTAGCATAATCCCTTAAGAAAAAAAGAGGTTAGCAACTAGTCAGAATCATCCATCAATGTATGCAGCCAGAGTCTAAGTTCTCATTCTCTCTACAAGCAATGAATGTAACTACACACAAGTTTCCATTTTATCTAGATAATTGGTGAGAATTTACTATTATATACACACTTGCATATGTAACAGCAGGTTGGCTGGAAACTGCTACTTAATCTCACAGATGTGATTTTTGGTTCACTCAACCCAGACTGCAGTGTTGGCATCAGCTGGAAAAGAAATGCAGTTTCTGAGGAATGCATTGCCACTGGTATACAGAATACCCTCACCATTGGCTTCATTTATCTTACATATTTGTCAAATGCATACAGACATGAAGCAAGGGGAACCCACACGGGAAACATCACCGTTGTGTTAATGAGAAACAAGGACCAAATTCAAGTATTATTTCAGTTTGTTTATATTCCTCCACACTCTAGGAGAGCTAAAAATCCTACTGCCATTTCTTTGCAGTCTTCAACATATTAATGGACACTTACAACATTTGTTCCTGTTATCCACAATAGAAATTTAGTGGTAAGTCAAAGGCTTAGTTTTCTCCGTCTCTCTGCTTTAAAAACAAGACTGACTCATCAGCATGAACATGATAGAGGGCCTGCTAATGGCTGTTTCATTAAGTCTAGTAATGAATTACCAGGTATTTCTAAATACAATCATTATGGCAAGATACAACTTGACTGAGCAGCTAACTAACTAAGCATTCTGACTTGACACATTGATCAACCCTCTCCAAAAGTTACTACAAGAAAGCTGAAGTATTCACTTGCTCCAATTTGTATTCAGAACAGACGAAGTTGACAACTTAAAGCTTTATTGTAGTTTGTAATATAAACAAGTGCTGAAATTCAGTCAATGTCCATTTCAGGAAGTTTCTTTTCTGTAGGTGTTGGGGCAGCTGCATTGGTGGTCTGTTCAGTAGCCTGGGACCCATTGTTGGCGTCTCCCTGGCCTTCTACTGGTCCATTCTGTTCAGCCGGTTTTTGCTCCTCTTTTGGGGGTTCAACCTTGGGTTTTGGTTTTGTGACTATAGGATTGCAGAAACTTATCAATTCCTATAACAGAAAGAAAAATAAGGTATCAAAGCTCATACCAACAATTATACCTTAGCTCACTGCTCAAACTAAACTAACTATACAAGTTGGATACCAATAAATTGAAGGTAGGTTATGTAGGTTGTTTTGTTTTAAAATGGTACTGTTCATCTACTGAGAATTTTCTAGTTGCAGAAAGATTTCATCCTTAAAAGCACTAAAGGCTAAAAGGTAAAGAAACACTGGTAACCAAGACAAAATCTTCACAACAATTTATTTCTTCCTTTACTGCAATGTCATTTACTCACTTTCGTTTTAGCTTGGATGTCTTTAGCCTTTATAACTGGGTCTAAAGTAAGACTTCTCTTGTTCTGAAGATTGAGCTTGTTGTTCATCCATTCCATGGCTTCATTTGCATTCTTTTCTACTTTTGCTATATCTTCTACATCTAAATGGTCATATTGTTCATCCTAAAGAAAAAAAGATTACAATACATTTTACAGCAACCCTATTTAACTATTTGGGCTAGTAATTTGTTTGTTCTTCATCTAAATATTATCCCTCCGCTGCACTGTTTGCCAGTTGGAATTTGCCTTAATGTTCACACACTAACCTATGCAGCTCGCTGTACGTTTATCAATATGGTCAAATTGAAAAACTGAAAGGTGCTTTCTCTTCAAATGGAAGAACAGGCATCCAGAACCCTGCCTCCCCCCAAACAAGCACTCTCCTCAAGAATACCAGCATTTATCCCAGCATTCTGGTTGTCTTCATGAGAAACCCAGGTGAAGTTAATTCCTGCCACCACTCCCCAGCCAAAAGGGTGCAGGTTTGTTAGCTATTTCCACTTCA